GTGAGCGAAACGCAGGGAGGAGGGGGAGGAAGGCCACGGAACGCTGTAGTGGGTGGGAGGGACGCATGCGGACGGCAGGCTTGGAACTTTCGGTGGGGCTCCCTGTGGGGTCGCGAAACGCTGTACTGGGTGGGTGAAACGCAGGGAGGAAGAGGAGGAAGGCCACGAAACGCTGTACTGGGCGGGGGGGGGGCGCATGCGGACGGCAGGCCTGGAACCTTCGGTGGGGCTCTGTATGGGGTCACGAAACGGTGTACTGGGTGGGTGAAACGCAGGGAGAAGGGGGAGGAGGTCCACAAAACGCTGTACTGGGTGGGGGGGACGCATGCGGACGGTAAACCTGTAACCTTCGGTGGGGCTCCGTATGGGGTCACGAAACGATGTACTGGGTGGGTGAAACGCAGGGAGGAGGGGGAGGAGGGACACGAAACGCTGTACTGGGTGGGGGGGACTCATGCGGACGGCAGGCCTGGAACCTTCGATGGAGCTACCCATGGGGCCACGAATCGCTGTACTGTGGGTGAAACGCAGGGAGGAGGGAGGAGGGGGAGGTGGAGGAAGGAGGGTCGGAGGAGAGGAGCGGAGGAGCGCAGGGATCCTGTTCAAAACGAGGACCCACCACCACAGGATGGTTGGGAACGATTTGGACTCTGGAACCGCTATTGCTATAACGATGTTTTATTTTACCGACGGCAAAAGTAAGTACTCGGGTTCGAGCACCCATAAACGTATCGAAACAGTGTCGAACGAGTATCGCTTCCCAGGGCCCGACACGCGAAAACCATTCAGTTTCGGTGTTTTCTTGGTGCTCGAGATTTTTGCTGGTGATCGATGCTAAAGTGGGTTGGAACATCATAAGTTCGGGGCGAAGCGGAAGCCATGGGAGACGGGTCGAGAGGTCCAGGGACCCAGGTCCGGCGGCGATCCCAAGGGGGAAGTGAAAAGGGGTGGGCTTCCTCAGAAGACTCGAAACCTTCTGGCCTTCTCAGAGAAATGTTCGAAGCCTTCCCCGGAGACACAAGACAACTTCTCAGAATGCTGGAATCGAGCAGGGACCGACCGTCCCAGCATTCCTGTAGTCATACCACGAACTGTTCTTAGAACCCCAGCATGTTCTAAGAAGGATACAGTGTTCTTAGAACAGGAACACGATGTGCTAAAACAAAGCAGTCCTAGCCAAACATGTTCTAAGAACAGCTCGTGGGAACCACAACAAGTTCTTAGAACTTTGTTTGGTGGGGCTATAGGCGAGCCAGGACGCTTCGCCACTGCTTGATGTTTTCGTTCTCGCTTCCCCCCTTCGCTCGCCGCCAGCAGGTGCATCAGGAGGCATTTCTCGGAGGTCCTGGTTGCGAAAGCGACCGATTGTGTCACCCCTGCCCACCGACTGACATGCCTTCGGGCACCACTCCAGGCCCGCCCTCGATTCCCAGGCGACGCGAAACTCTGTTCCTCGGAAGCGCATGTTTCGAATCGCACCCACGGCAAACCAACTCGTCCAATGATTCGCAGCATGGTGGTGCCGTTATCCCGCCGACACCACCTAACCGCCGACGAAGGCACACTGCAATTTGAACAAAGAAACGACACTGAGGGAACCAGACAGCACACGCACCGACCGCGCCCGAGATCACTCGCCAGCTCGAGTCGTCGCACTCCTGTCCCAGAAGCACATGCCGCGCCAAATCAGAGAGAACGCACTGGGAGTTCACACGAGCTCGAGTTTAACATAGTTGCACAAAGACGCGAAGCATTGACACTGGGTCCTCCCCATGGTCCAAAAATCTTGGCGCATGGGCGCATCACCCCCAGACCATGCGACCACGCTGGGCCACAATCAGATTAGACCACCTGCCGTTTTCTGGCTGCGCGCGCACGGGAATGGCGCGAGGGAGGTGCCTTTTCAAATATGGCGGGGGGGGAAATGAAGGAAGGCGGGGACGGGACTCGTCGTAAATGGGCCATTGATAAGCCAAGGGACTTCTGAAAAAGGCTTGTCAGAAGCCGCTCGGCGCGCGCGCCTAAGGAGCCGCCCCCGCTCTCATTAGACAGGGAAGCTGGAAAGAGTAGAAATTGGAAAATCAAATAAAATACCACGCTCACTGGGTAAATTCGCATCTGTCCGAAGCCATAGGAAGGACAAACTATTTGGGGCAGCGAGGCGGCCGTCGGAAACAATGGCCGGGCCGCGGGAGAGAATACAAAAAACACCGCAGTTGGAAAGAACGCCAGCGCGCGACGCAGACGCCCACCAGCGAACAGCGCGTTTGGCCGCGTCTAGCGGGCCAGGCCTGCGCTGCAAAAGCTACGAGTGGCCAGTGCTGAAAATACGCGCGCCAGCGACTGCCCACGGCGCGCGACGGAAAAACTGACAAGGCCAAGCGCGGAAAACACCAGCTGGCCGAAAAGCCCCGGGCGCGCGCTGGAAGAACTGACCGCGGCCAGCGCTGGAGAAAGTTCGGGGGCGGGAGCGGCGACGTCGTTTGCAGTCCACGCCGCGGCCTAGCCGCGGGAACAATCGACGTCGCGCGGGCGCGTCATGTGACCCTAAACCCTGGCCCTGCGCCTCACATCCCTGCTCGACAGCCCTACAATGCACCGCCGCCTCGGGCGTTGGCTCCAAACCTCGGCGCCGCCGCGGGCTAGAGCGCGCGCGCGTGGAGACGTCAGTGCTGTCCATAGCAGAAAGCATACACCAGAACCCATGTTAACTTCAGAATCCAATCGGTCACCGTTAAGGGGTTCCCTTTAAATCTCCAAGCCAACATGGCACCTTGTCGATAATGGACAACGCAGAACTCCGCGAGCGAACGCGCGCGCGCGAGGAGACGCCTGTGCTGTCGATAACAGAAAGCAAACACCAGAACACATGTTAACTTCAAAATCTACTCGGTCACCGTTAAAGTTTATCTCTGCATGGCGCCTCTTCGATCGCGGACAATACAAAACTCCGCGCGCGCGCGTGGGGAGACGTCTGTGCTGTGCAGAGCAGAAATCATACACCAAAACCCATGGTAACTTCAATAGCCAATCGGTCGCCGCTAAAGGTTCACTCGCGTCTCCAGGCCAACATGGCGCCTGTTCGATTGTGGGCAATACAGAACTCCGCGAGCGCGCGCGCGCGCGGGGAGACGTCTGCGCTGTCCATTGCAGAACGCAAACACCATAATCCATGGTAGCTGTAGTTCCAAGCCAGTAGGGCGCCTTTCGATCGTGGGCAACACAGAGCTCCGCGAGCGCGCGCGCGGGGAGACGTCTGTGCTGTCCACTGCAAAAAGGCACCGCTGGAGTCGAGCAAGGCCAAAGGCGGCGGGGAAACCCTTAAATCCGTGAAAAACCCGTAAATCGGTAAACTCCGTTCCGAAATTTCACATGTCGGTACGGAGTCTACGCGAAAGCACAAAAAGCCGAAACTTCGCACACCTGCTACTTTTCGGCTTTTCAGATCAAACGCGCGCTTGCGCCCCGCTCGCAGGAACTTCTCCTCGTCGGCTTAGCATCGATGCGTGTGATGGGGTGCGCCGAAATGGGCGGGGCGGTCGCATGGGGACTGCGCCGCGGGGACCCTCGGTGGAGCTCCGTGCGGGCCCGCGAAACGCGCGAGAATATGCAGAAACACGCGGGGCGGCGGACGCATGCGGATTGCGCCGCTGGGGCCTGCGGCGGAGCCCCCGATGGGGCCGCGGAGCGCCGCGCGAGGGGCGCGCCGGAATGCGCGGGGCGGGCGCGCGCGGACCACGCCGCTGGAGCGTTCGGCGGAACTCCCTATGGGGCCTCGAGACGCAGGAGGGGTGCGCCGGAGTGGGCGGGGCTGATGCATGCGGGCCGCGCCGCGGGGACCCTCGGCGCTCCGAGCGCCATAGCCAAGTCGAGCTCGCGGAAAACCTCGCCACGCACGGCATCGCTTGGAGCCTGGAAGCGATTGACATCACGCGCTGCGGCCTCGGGGCCACGCGCGAGTACCAGTGCGATTCTCTTCTGGTCTTTCAAGCGCTTCGCCCATGCCAGTTTTGCCAGCAAGCGCCCTTGCATTTTTCCCAGCGAGCCCGCGCGATTCAACGCATGGCCAACGCATGAATAAATATTGCGGCACCCGCCGGAAAAACAAAGAGCGCGCGCTGCTGATTCCGTCGACGGTCGAAGGCCATCGTCGGAAAAAAACGCTCGGGCACTTTGTGCGACAGAAGGCGACCAAGTCGGACGCACGGCGTGGCATTGAGTTGGAAATAGTAAAGGTCGACAAAACTGCTCGGTTGGCAAAGGTATTTCCGGTGAGGTGGGTCGCCGATTTCGGTGGCTGGGCCCGGGTGCCCGGGTGCCCGGGTGCCCGGCGGTGCCCGGGTGGCCGGTGAGGTGCGTGGCCGATTTCGGTGGCCGGGCCTGGGTGCCCGGGTGCCCGGGTGCCCGGGGTGCCCAATAGCCCAATAGCCCAATAGCATATAGCCCAATAGCCCAATAGCCCAATAGCCCTATAGTTTTATAGCCCCATAGCCCCATAGCCCTATAGCCCTATAGCCCTATAGCCCAATAGCCGTATAGCCCTGTGGCCCGATAGGCCCATAGCCTTATAGCCCTATAGCCCTATAGCTCTACAGCCTTATAGCCCTATAGCCTTATAGCCCAATAGCCCTATAGCCTCATAACCTTCTAGCTTTGTAGCCCTACAGCCCCATGGCCCCAACAAAAATCTGTTTGGGTTTTTTCTTCGGTGTCATTAGCAATAGGGGCGGGGCAAGCGTTGGAAATAGGCAAAAGCTAAAAAGAGTAAAAGGGCCGGCCCCAAACACTCTTTCCAGCTCCCTGTAGACGCTTCTCAGAAAACCGACCCACTCGCGCCACCCCCTTTGTGCGCGCCGCTGGATTTCTTCAATCCGACGCATCGCCAAAACATAGATCGAGGCCAAAAAAAGACACGACCTCGGCAAGCGTTACGAAACCAGACGGGCCCGCGACGGAGACGTCGCTCCGAGTCCGGCCAGGCTGGCGCATGGACGTGCTGCCCTCAGACAAGTGGGAGCTCGGGCCTGTACGAGCAGGAACTCCTTGCGCATAAAACACGGCTAGGATCGGGATAAATTGCTCCAGAGCGTTCCGGAGCGCTCTCAGAGCGTTCCGGAACGCTCTGGAGCGGCCGCGGCGCCCAATACATCCTCCCAACCCGCCGATTCTCGGAGATTTCGAGTTATCCCGATCCGATTTTGTCCCGATCTTCGCGTCGTTTTATCCTTCTTCTCGAACGTGCGTGAACGCGCGCACGCATGGACACACGACAAATAGAAGCGCTCCTGGCCCGCGCCCTCCTCGGGCACCAGGACACGCATGGCCGCGGCCCAGGAGAGGGGCCCGGCACTTGCAGCCGCTCGGGCCCGCACTCCTCGAGCTGCCGCTCCTTCTCCGTCAGGAACATGGACATCTGCTCCTGCCTCTCCTTGGCGGAACAGAAGACCCACCTGCCCATCACCTTCGCGGGGGCTCTCCTCCTCCACCTCCTCCTCCACCTCCTCCTCTTCTCTGGGGCGTCCTGAAGCCCTCCAGGCTCTCGCTGGTGGTTTCGGGGCCGTCTGGGCCACCTGACGCTCCCGGGGAGCCCCCTGGGAGGAGGAGGAGGAGGAGGAGGAGGAGGAGGAGGAGGAGGAGCAGGAGGATGTACACCGAACGACATACAGTCGGACTTGACTGGAGAGGGCACGCGAGAGGACGCAGGAACCTTCCGAGGGCCACGTTGCCACGGAACTGCAGGAGGCATGGGTCGCAAGACACAGGACAAGGGGGTACCCTCGATTCGGCGGCGTCGACCTACCAATCCGGGCCGCCTGTACAGTCGACCCGTGTCACAAGGGTGCGCGGTGAGGATGACAAGGGCCCTGGAGGGCCCCATGAACGCTTTTCTAACGAGGCTGGCAAGCGAAGGCCGCTAAGGATGGGCCGAAGGGGTAGGGATGCCGGGGTAACCTTGGGAAGGTTGCCCATCCTTGCTGCGCGGGTTGACTGTGCAGTGCGGGCGCGGCCGCGAGAAACCCTCGCAAGAAAGAAACCCAACACTGAAAACCCGTGCGCGAGAAGCACCTGAGGGGACACCCGGAGCACTCTGAACGCAGCAGCTTCCTCAGCGGCCGCGGGAAGTCACCGAGCAGCTCGCGGAGCGAAGAAACCCAGGATGCCCCGACAAAATTCAGATGGTTTCTTGATGCGCGCCCCCACTGCATTCCTCCTTATGTCGGGCCAGGCGAAAGGGGGGGATGGCAAAGGGGGGGGTTGAGAATTAGCTCACGTAGCTGATTTCCCCAGCGCCTCCCGGCGCCGGAAGGCGCCCACGTATCGAGGAATGGGCCCGGCGGAGGGGCCGAATCCAGCTACATGCAGCAGATTTCGTAACTCTCCCTTTCACACACAGACACACAGACACACAGACACACACACACACACATACACAGACACGCACACACACACACACACACACACACACCTCACGCACTTCGCGTGCCTATGTGGAAATCCACCCACGGGCCCAGAAGGCGGGCGCGCGCGCGCACGCACGCACGCACACACATAGACGCGCACACAAACACACACACACACACACAGCCACACACACAAACACACCAACACACACACACACACGCACACCACACACACACACACCACACACACACACTACACACACCACACACCACACACACCACACACACGCACACGCACACGCACACGCACACACACACACACACACGCACACACGCACACACGCACACACACAAATAACACACACACACACGCAAAACAATATCCTTGCGAAAGACCCAACCAGATGCAGTTGCGGGTACCGCAATTGTGAATATCTTCTTCTGTGAAGCTCCCCATGGTGCCATGAAGCGCTGCAGTGGGTGGGGGAACGCATGCGGGCGGTAGCACTGGGGCCGTCGGTGGAGCTCCCTACGGGGCCACGAAGCGCTGTACTGGGTGTGGGGGGCGCATGCGGGCGGATGCACTGGGGCCTTCGGTGGAGCTCCCTATGGGGCCACGAAAGGCTGCATTGGGTGGGGGGGACGCATGCGGGCGGTAGCACTGGGGCCTTCGGTGGAGCTCCCTATGGGGCCACGCAACGCTGTCCTGGGTGGGTGGGGACGCATGTGTCGGTGGAGCTCCCTATGGGGCCACGAATCGTTGTACTGGGTGGGGGGGGCGAATGCGGGCGGTAGCACTGGGGCCCTCGGTGCAGTTCCCTATGGGGCCACGAGACGCTGTACTGGGCTGGGGGGGCGCACGCGGGCGTAGACCTGAAACCTTCGGTGGGGCTCCCTATGGGGCCACGAAGCGCTGTACTGGGTGGGTGAAACTGTCAAATTGGACGTTTCGAGACGCGTGCGGACGGTGGCACTGGCGCCTTCGGTGGGGCTCCCTATGGGGCCACGAAGCATTGTACTGGGTGGGTGAAACGGAGGGACGAGGGAGGAGAGGGAGGAGGGGGAGGAGGGGGATGGAGGAAGGAGGATCGCGGGGACCGTCAGTTCAAAACGAGGACCCAACACCACATGATGGTTCGGGGGATAACACACACACACACACACACACACACACACACACACACACACACACACACACACACACACACACACACACACACACACACACACACACACACACACACACGCACACACACACACACACACGAGCGAGGCCAAGCTGGGCGGGGGGGGGGGGGGCGCGGGGCGGGGCGTCCCCCCCACCCGCCCGAATTGCGGGGAAGCCGCGGCGTGCCCCCGTCGACGGCGAGCCCGCGGAGGCAGCGAGCGAGAGGAGGCCTTTGCAGAGGGAACGGAGGTCCCCCCGGCCGTCTGATAAGTGTTTTGAAATTCTCCCGGCGGAGGACCCAACCATATGCAGTTGTGGGTACCGCAATGGTGAATCTCTTCTTCGGTGAAGCTCCCTATGGGGCCACGAAGCGCTGCACTTAGGTGGGGAGGAAAGCTGCACCGGGTGGGTGGTGTGCCAAATTGGGTTTCCGGGACGCATGCGGACGGTCCCACTGGAGGCTTCCGTGGACCTCCCTATGGGGCCACGAAGTGCTGTACTGGGTGGGTGAAAATGCCACATTCGGTTTGTCGGGACGCGTGCGGACGATGGCACTGGGGCGGGACGCTGGCGGACGGTCCCATTGGGGCCTTCGGTGGAGCTCCGTATGGGGCCACGAAGCGCTGTACTGGGTGCGTGAAAATGCCACACTGGGTGTTCCGGGACGCGCGCGTGGCACAGCTTGCGTGGTTGCCACAGCTTGCTGGGACGGCTTCCATCGGTACCCCTCCCTTTGTTTCTCTTGTATGAGCCTGGGCACGCACGTGCCGCCTGTCAAAAGGTGGCACGGGGCCCCGAGGAGGCGGAGGTACCCTGAGACCACAGAGGACTTGGCCCGTCGATGGATTGATCGATGATTATCCGCGCGACCGCCCGCTCTACGTCACCTGGTTGCGGTTCATATCTGGAACCATATCGACGTGGACTACCTTATCGCAAACTACTTCCGCGACCAAGCCGCCGTGGACCACCTGATCGCGGAATAATTCCGCGACCAGCTCGTCCTGGACAACCTGATGAAGGAGCAATTCGGGACCACATGCTTACGGGCAAAACAAGTCGACAACCAGGTCGTCCTGAACTAGCAGAACTGGGGGCAATGTCGCGGCCATGTCGCCAAAGACCACCTGATCGCGATCCCAGAACAATTCTCCGACCACGTCGTCCGCGACTCCCATCACTTCCTCCCCCTCCTCTTCCTTCATTTCCCTGCCTTTGCTCTCCGTGCGCATGCCAAGTTCGGCACACCCCCCTCACACGCTCGTGTGCCCCAGTTGGAGCACTGCCCCGACTCGCAGTGCAGGGCCCGTCTGACTGCGGAGCACCATCGCTACCAAGCACAGGAGCGAGGAGGGAGGGAAGGATGATGGAGGTTGGGCGACGGGCAGGATGGGGGAGGGGTGGGGAAGGATCAATCGAGGAGGGATGACAGAAGGGGGCGAAGATGAGGAGGAGGGATGCAGGAGGACAAACTGAGGACAGAGCATCCCAGGGGCACTCGAAACTTTCAAGAAAACCCGACGACATCCAACGGCCCCCAGCTGCTGCTGCCGCGCGTCTCCGAAGCTTCCTGCAGGCCTCCACAGGCCCCGGGAAGCCCCCGGAGGCCTCCAAAGCCTCGGGGGGCCCCGGCCTTGCCCCTGGCGCTCAAACACCCCGACCCTCGAACATCACAGGCGGGAGGAAGAGGACCCTAAGATCCGACGTAGCGAGGAAATCATAACATAATGGAAAATCACGCACAGAGCCATCGACCTCACCGTTTCTGGACCATCTGTCGAGCCGGATCGATATGTGAGGGTCCCGGGGCCCGAAAACACGGCGAGAACGCCCGGCGCGAACAAAAAAGAGACGCCAGGATCTCAGGGGAACGAGGCCCTGCAATGCAACAACCTCCCCCCCGCGCGAAAGGCGACGACGACCGACAAAGACGACGACGACCGACGAGCGGACGAGGAGGACGACGACGACGAAGACGACCGACGAGCGGACGACGATGACGACGACGACGACACCTTGTCGGCGCCCTTGGCGGTGAAGAGGAGGCCCTGCTGCTCCGCCACCTCTGCACAAAAATTGTCGGCAGAGGGCGGGGGGCGGCCAGCGAGGGCGGCGGCACGGCCGCCCTGCCATCGCCGCCGCGGCCCTGGACGAGCACCCTGCGTCAGACCCCCTCCCTCGCGCCTCTGCGCCTGCTGCTCCTCCTCCTCCTCCTCATCCTCCTCTTCCTCCTTCTCCTTCTGCTCCTCCGTTTGCTGTTTTTCTCCTTTCCTCCTCCCGTTCCTCCTGCTGCTGCTGTTGTTCCTCCTCCTCCTCCTCCTCCTCCTCCTTTTCCTCCTCCTCCTCCTCCTCCAACCCCTCCTTTTCCTCCTCTTCCTCCACCTCCTCTCCTCCTCCTCCTCCTCCCCCTACCCACCGTCTGCCGGGGCGGGCGGCTTCTCATTGCCCTATAGATTTCGACCTCGCGAACGGCGTCCTAGGAGAGGACGCTGGCGCGGAACAAATCAACACCCAACTCGCAACAACCCGCGTCGCTTCTGTTCGTCACGTGTCTAAGGGGCAAAGAGAGCGAGCCACACCTCTTGAAAGGGATCCGCCACACTAGCCCATCACGCCTCGAGAAGGTTTTTGGGTCTTCCCGCTACCGTCCCGGTGTGAATTTTGACGCATCCTGGATTTCACATGGTTCGCGCTACCAGAAACCAGCGCCAACTGGTGTTGTTGAGTGGCGCAGCACCCCATGTGTCCCGATCGATTCCAACGTTGCCCCGCCCTCTGCCCTGGCCAGGTTGGCAAGCTGGCCGTGCACCCATCCCGAACAGTCCAGTTTTCTGACTCCGCAGACTGTTGCGCCTCTGCGTCAATCGACCCCCCGCGGAGAGAAGAGGCGAGAGCCTCTTGAGGCCTACGAAAGGGTCTGATCCAAGGCGCCCGCGCGAGGGCAACGGCCTTCAACGCGCAGGCCAGGACGGGGGCCTCCTCGCCCTCCTCCTCCTAGTTACCCCTCCTGGTCCTCCTCCTCCTCCTCCTCCTCCTCCTCCTCCTCATCATCATCATCATCATCATCATCATCATCATCATCATCATCCTCTCTCCCTTTTCCTCGCTTCCTCCTCCTCTCCTCTCCTCTCCTCCCCCTGGGGTCCACAGCTCCTGCGGCGGTTCAGCCCCCCCCGCCGGGGCGAGGCCAGGAGACCAGCGCGCGCGCCGCCGCCGTTATTGACGCGGTGGTCGATGTTTCGGCCGCGTGCGCTTCAGGAGTCCCCGCCCTGTCGCCCAGGACAGGCCTGGGGGCAAACGACAGGCTCGTTTTCGTCGTCTCTGCCGTCGTGCTCACGGCTGAGAGGACCAGGCAAGCAATATCCTCCTCCTCCTCCTTCACCTCCACCTCCTCCTCCTCCTTCCCTTTTCCCTCCTCCGCCTCCTTCTCCTCCGTTTCCTCCTCCTCCTCCCCCTCCTCCTCCTCCTCCTCCTCCTCCTCCTCTTCCTCTTCATCCTTCTCCACTTCCTCCTCCTCCTTTTCCTTTTCTTCCTCCTCATCCTCCTCCTCCCCCTCCCCCTGCTCATCCTCCTGCCTTCTCCCTGTTCCTCCCTCCTCCTTCCTCTTCCTCCCTCCCTGCATCTCCCTCCTCCTCTTCCTTTTCCGCCTCCTCCTCCACTTCCTCCTGTTCCTCCTCCTCCCCCTCCCCCTCCTCCTCCTCCTCCTCCTCCTCTCTCCTCCTCCTCCTCCTCCTCCTCCTCATCATCATCATCATCATCATCATCATCATCTCATCCGCCTCCTCCCGCCTCCGCCCCCGCCTCCTCCTCCTCCTCCTCCCTTTTTCTCCTCCTCCTCCTCCGCCTCCTCCTCCGCTTCCGCCCCCGCCTCCTCCTCCGCCTCCCTTTCCCTTTCCCTTTCCCTTTCCCTTTCCTCCTCCTCCTCCTCCTCCTCCTCCTCCTCCTCCTCCTCCTCCCCTCCTCCTCCTCTCTGACCGCTCACTGGAACGGTCGGTGCAAAATGCTCCTCCTCCTCCTCCTTCTCCTCCTCCTTCTCCTCCTCCTCACGCCCCTCCGCCACTTCCTCCCTCGCTGTCGCCTTCGCGCCCCCCCGCCCCTTCCTCCATCGCCCTCGCGCCCCTCCACCCGTAGCGCGCTCCTCCTCCTGATCTCGGCGGCGCGCCGGGGGAAGGCAGACCGGGGCTGGTCCTCCCGGTAGGCTCGGAAATGCCTCTTGAGAAGCTCTCGGGGCATTCTCCGTAACCTAAGGTCGGGCATGTCGCCCTACAGGCGGATTTGGGGACGAAATATCAAACATATTCAAACCATAGTCGCGCATGGTCCAAAAATACTTGAACAACTCGTCCCCAGACTATTTTTTACTAGTTGTGAAGATTCCTCATGTAGAGGAACAATAACAGGCCGACTTAACCGTAGCCCCGCCGGCCCTCCCGCCTCCCCCTCGGCGCACCGCCGACCCCCCTCCTCTCAGACCAGCCGCGGGAGCGAACGTTCGAAGCGCCAGGACGGCCTGCACGAGAAGACGGCCAGGCCGAAGGCGTCGTGCGGGCACACAATCTTCGGAGGCAACTACTGAGAGGTCTTTGCCGAAAAGAATCCCACCAGCCCTTTGGGCGTGAGTGGTTTAGAGAGCCCTCTCTGTTCTCAACCCCCCTTCTTCCCCTTCGGGGAGGGGTTTACCCCTCCCCCTACCCCCTCCCCCTGGGCCTGGAGAGGTCCCTCCGCGGGTCGTCAGGGGGGTCAATTTCGACTCCTGGGAGGGCTAAAAAACGACACCCCTCACGAGGATTCTGGCCCCGACGGGGGGGCCCAGAAAAACCCTCTCCTCTTCTTTGAAGCCAAACTCATTGATTTTACTACGGTTTTGGCCCCATTTTGCCCTTCTGAGGGGCCAGCGCTCCTTAAAGCTCCCCTCTTCTTTCAAGGCAAAATCATTGATTTTACGAAGGTTTTGGCCCCATGTTGCCCTTCTGAGGGGGCAGCGCTAATTAAAGCTCCCCTGTTCTTTCATCGATTTCCTCCAAGATGGCCCCAAGAAGCGCCCAGGAGGCACCAAGAGGCCCCAAGATGGCCCCAAGAGGCCCCCAGGAGGCCCCCAAGAGGCCTCCAAGAGGCCCCCAAGATGCCCCCAAGAGGCCCCCAAGAGGCCCCAAGAGGCTCCCCCGAGGCACCCAAGACGCTCCTGGAAGCCCCTGGGGCCGCCAAGAGGCCCCCAAGACGCCCCAAACGGCCTCCAAGAGGCTCCCAAGAGGCCCGAAGAGGCTCCCCCAAGGCACCCAAGACGCTCCTAGAAGCCCCTGGGGCCGCCAAGAGGCCCCCAAGACGCCCCAAAAGGGGACGAGGTGCCCGAACGCCTCACGCCACGAGGAGCCCGAACGACTCACACCAGGACGAGGGGCCCGAACGACTCACACCACGAAGAGCCCGAACGACTCACACCAGAAGGAGGGGCCCGAACGACTCACACCAGGACGAGGCGCCCGAACGACTCACACCACGAGGAGCCCGAACGACTCACACCACGACGAGGGCCCCGAACGACTCACACCACGAGGAGCCCGAACGAGTCACACCAGGAGGGGCCCGAACGACTCACACCAGGACGAGGGGCCCGAACAACTCACACCACGAGAAGCCCGAACGACTCACACCAGGACGAAGAGCCCGAACGACTCACACCACGAAGAGCCCGAACGACTCACACCAGGAAGAAGGGCCCGAACGACTCACACCAGGACGAGAAACCCCAAACGACTCAAACCACGAGGAGCGCTTTCTCTCCCTCCTCCTCCGCCTCGTCCTTCTCCCGCTCCCACCACAAGGAGGATGTACAAGGAGGCGGGAGGAAGGAGGAACAAGGGAGATATGCGGGGGCAGGCGGAAACACGCCTGAAAAACACGACTGTCGGCATGCTTCGCAAGAGTTGCTGTTTTGAGATGGGCGGGTGGGGATACGCGAAGCGTGAAGAATTAGGAAGATTAAGCCCCATTGGGGGGGCTACTACGCTGGATTATGTCGCGGATTAAGCAGGATTAAACTGAATTCAGAGGGATTCAGCCAGATTAGGCGGGAATGAACCCGATTAAGCCGAATTTCAGACCAGGGCAAAGTCAAAATTTGACCTCCCAGGAGTTGCATCCGAACACAGTCAAGCGAGGAGAGCAACGCGCGCCTCCTCCTCCAAGGCTCCTCCTCCGCGCTCCAATTCGCTCCTGTGGGTGAGCTCCGTTCGGGGGCACGATGCTCCGCCCACCAGCGCACTGGCATTAGCAGGCCAACGTTCGCTGCACAGTCCCAGTTGAGTTTCGCATCCGCCTTCTGCCTTGCACTGAAAACCAGGTACGATCCAATGTCTCCACGATCCCCCTCATCCTCCAAGCACTCCTTCCTGTCATCCTCCACGCTGGTCCGCACCACTGATGCTCATCCTCCTCATTATTCTCACCGTCCCCACCATCCCATCCCCACATATCGTGCGTGTGTGTATTGTCCGATCTCTGACAATGGATGGTACATACATACATGCAAGCAGTGTGAACTCTGTCAAACACGTGCAAATCAGATGTGTGGTAATCGTCGAGGCCCTCACTCACGACCTCCTTCAGAACTGTCTAAAACTCTGAAAGACGTCCGCATTTCGAAATACACGTGTCGTAACGGAAAAGGCAGGAACAGCGGTAGACGATCTCCGGCACCGACGCTCATCCAAAATCACACGTGGACGGTCTACAATGCTGAGAAACTGCATACATAGGCAGAACATTGCCCAGACAGTCCACGTGTGTTTTACTCTGACGGCGCGACTCGACTCCGCTCGATTCATTAAGAGTGCCATTTCAAACTGAATAGGCCGTGCACTGTGAGCAGACTGAGCCTGCGTACAACAAACGTCCATCAACTCTATAACGGCTCGAAGCATCTGGCACGGTGAACCTGCTAAAGCGGAACCTACCGCAAGGGCTGGGCATCGTGATGACGGGGCAGTGCCATATGGGACAGAGAACCCAGGGCAGGACGCAATGGCCCTTGGCAAATGAGATGACTGACGGAAGCATCCCTTCGAGCATTCCGATGGGCTTAACCACGAGACACAGGCCTGCTTGCATGGCGAACAACTGTTTCCGGCCGTGAGGCCCCTCAGGGCCAGGCGAAAAAACAAGCAAGAAGAACCCTCGACATCGGAGAGCGAGAGGGTAATGGGGTGGAGGTGGGGGAGCTTCTATCAAAAACGAATAACTGCATAAGCGACAACCCTCGGAGGGCCGCGCGGACTTCTCTGGGGTCGGCGAGGGACTGCCCTCCCCTGGCACGCGAAGCACGCCCATGGCGGCGCCGCCAGGGGGTGTCTGGTGCCGACCTTCTGAATCCGCGCGGACCTCAGGCAATGCTTAGGTCGGGCCTGTCCCCCCACAGGCGGACCTTCGGCGAAC